TCTCTTAACCCTCACCAAACAACCTTTCCCTGCCTGGGCCTGGTAAGAAGGTAGAGGATATCTGCGAGTAATTTCAAACTGGATTGTCTAGAGTGGCATCCTGCTGTGTATAATATGGCCCCTCTGAGGAGCAGACAAGGGGTCCTCTTTACCAGCAAGAGCCAGGAGTGGAGTGTGTCCTCTGGACCCGATCAGGGATACAGCTATACCATCAGAGGGCAGCAGAAGAACCAGGAGTCAGAGCAGGGACCAGGGTGATGGACGTCCCAACCTGTGGAGCAAGTTGAGTGACTTTGTTCAGAAAGCTGGCTGGTGGACTGAGGTGCCTCTGGACACTGAATTGGAAAAATAGGACTTGTTGAATCATGGAAGCGGAGCCGGGTGCCTGGGCGCTGAGGTTTCCTGTAGTAGAGTGCCTCTGGGTACTTAATTCAGAGAGCTAGTTTTGCTGACCCATGGAGCTTGGACTGTATGGTTTCAAGTAAAGACTTACAACAGAGCGGTAAGCAGACCTTGTAAATAGCTACTGTGAGCATTTCTCACTGATATTATAACTTTAGCTTCCATAATAAACCCTTTAAGCAAGAATCTTGTCTGTGGCTTTATGTGCAACCACTGCAATGGATATTGGAATCTAATGAAGTCATATCAATTCAGACAATACAGACATGTTATTAGGAGAGACCATTCCCTGGAGAAGAACATCATGCTGGCTCAAAAGGCGATGAGAGCAGAGATGAAGAGCGACAGTGACTCCAACAGTGGCCTCACACACAAGCACAATTGTGAGGATGGCGCAGGACCGCGCTTTGTTTTCTTCTGTTGCGCATAAAGTCGCCGTGCATTAAAACTGTCTTGATGGAATATAACAACACCCCCCCACCCCAAGGCTTTTATAGACTCTGTGTTAGTCTGGGTATTTTAGAGAAACAAATCCACAGAATCTCATGTATAAGAGAGTTTGATATAAAGGGTAAGTGCACATCAAGAAAACATCCCAACCCAGTGCTGCCCAAGCCTACAAGTCCAACAATAGCCCATATGTCCGACACCAATCCACAAAGTCCTCCTCCATCTCACAAAACACGCACTATGACGCTGACTGCAGGCGGAAAGCCAAATCAGTGAACATGTAAGCATCTCACCGCTGGCAGGGGTCTCCACAAGGCTGCTCCAGCACCCAGGGCTGCATTGGGGTAAGGTCCATGTGGCCTCTCCTCAGGGATGTCTTGCAGGAAGTGAGTCTTGCCAGCTGAAGCAGGGAGCTGGCCCAGGCAACTGCACCCTGGTCAGACTATTACCTAGCAAGAGACCCGAGAACTAGAAAGGCGAGACTGACTGAGCCATTTATCCCTCCATCCTTCAATTGACCCCACATGTGTTTATCAGCTAAATTGGCACAAAAAAATAACTCAGACTCTCTAATAATAGTAAGATATATTTCAAGAATACTTTTAGAATTAATACATGAAAATAAATTGCATTTAATGACTATAAAACTTGTTGTCAGGCTTATTTCTTAAGTCAAAACTAAAGATATACATACTTTCTAGA